GGATTTTAAACTGCAAGACTTTGTTCTTTCAAAATTCTGTGTAAAATCTTTCAATTGAGCTTTAGTTCCTTTCAGCTGACCATGCTTTTGACAGCTCGAAAAACAGGGGCTAATAATCGCTCCTCTTTGTTGCCATCCTGCACAGAGTCCCCAATTCTCTGCCTCACAGCCAAGTCGAACAACCGATCTGTCTTTGCTATCAGCTTTCATCGGCAGTACCACAATAATAGACCCGATATCTCTCCTTCAGTTAACTTCACGTTGGCTCGATCCGTCAATTCCGGCAGGCTTTTCTGTGCCCCCGTTTGCAGCCCAGCTTACCTCGCTGGTCGGCAGTCCCCTGCCTTCTTCGGCTGCGGTATCACGTCGGGGTCACCACAATGCCGAGTTTCAGCATCCATGCAGGGACAGGAATGACTCTCACACATTGATACAATGCACAGTCGATTGCCCCTTATTGGTCTGCTTGCGTGGTTATACACATTCTTCATATCTGCACACGCGATCACGCTTATTCAGATAGGCTACAGACATAAATCACGCGCTGTTCACGCACCCCATATTCCCTTATGATTGGTAACTATGCACTAACGCTAACAGCAACAGACGGCCTCCATGTCCTTGAACACATCTTGTTTTTGCTAACCCACATCATGTTTATTCTTAGCTGTCCTTTCCAGCGGCCTGTCCAGCTATGCTAACTGTTTTGCTTAAGCGGCCTAGTCATGCTAACGCTCAAACTACATCGACCCCAACAATTCCAAGGTAGCAAATGTTTCCATGATGTGGAAATACCGTTTCTTGTGAATATACTACGTCTGCTTTTGGTTTCTTCCTCTAAAATTATACTTTAAAGGAGAGATTCTGAATTCTGTAGCCACTCCTTCCAGAGAAGACCATAAGAGTGTTGGTTCCATTTTAATGTCCATTTTCATTGCTAGTCCAAGAATGAACAAAACATGCATATGTATATATGTTACTAAAAATAGAAATCTCGTTCTGCGGTGGCTGTGTGTGTAAAGACTAGAATAAAGGGCACAGGAAAGACTGTAGAAGATCATAATGTAGAATAGGATACTATGTTGCTTTCTATAATGACCTATGAGGCTGTGAAAACACAGTTCCTAATAAGCCTTCTATTTAGACTCGGCTATTTGTATGAAATGACTCACAATTTCTTCTCTACTGCTACACATCAAAATAATGTTTGAAATATTTGAGTGCGAAAAGGCTTTGAATTAAATTATCTTAAAACACAGAGAGGAAAGTACTGAGAAATGATTTGCCTTTCAAGATTACGTATGTGATCTGTGACATGAGGAATGGAGTTACAGGTACATACTCTCCAAGGTCTAAACTCTCTACAATGAATGATTTTGGTGATGGGTTTTATGTGTAACAGAAATCGCTGAAATAGAGAACAGGCCTTTTTCCTTGACTTAGTGAAAAGGGGCAGCAACCTATTCTGCTCTGCTAGCCTGACCAAAGTCTTGACAAGACCGAGCTGCCCTTTATTCCGTATTGCTGGATCACAGCTTTAATGACTTCCAAAACTTTAGGGTGCTGGCTTTCATATACAGCACCAGCTGCTTAACTTGTGCTGATCATTTTGGAGATTGCATTTGTATTTTACGTGCTCTATTCCTTCTTGAAAGTGAATCCTTATGTCTCCAGATAATCAGAGCAGTTGGTAGACATGTAAAAGAAGGAGTTACCAGAAAATGGGGTTGTGTTTTTTTCCTGAGAAACTGAACAAATTATACCTTTTTTCCCCGGGGGAATTCTAGCTTCTTGTGTAAGAGTAAGAAGCATGGTAAATAAAATATCTAAAGATCCAGAGTTTTCAGTAGTTTCCTGGTGAGCTGAGTTCATGGTTTTAAAGCTGTGAAACAGGCCTTAAGGTAGCTTTGTATTTCTAAGGATGTGGAGCACACTAAACATTATTCATGAAGTAATACAGTTGTTCAGACATCTGTTTACATCTCTTGTAGGTATGTGGACTGTGTTGCCTCTAAGTGGGTGTTTAAGACAAGGAAACCAGTGTTATGGCCCGGACTGGAGATCGCCCTTTTCCCTCCAGGTCAAGAGAAATAACTGAAAATTAGAAATAGTTCAACTGAAAATAAATTACAGGTCTTATCTCTGTGACATTTTTTTAGACATGCCTCATGTCATTTTTTGAGCCCTGACTTAAACATTTCTATAAAAGACAACAATCCATAGGTTTGTGCCCGGAGACTTAAGCTTTAAAGTTGTGTTTGCATGGTTCTGCTACTAATAGCTTTATGGAAAAAATGCAATGCATTGAGCTGCAGCTTGTAAGAAGGAGATTTAGTTCTCATCTCTGCAATGGACTTTTAAAATTAACATCTTGTGTCTTCTAATAGTAACCTCTCAACAGTTTGTGAACTAACTTACCCATTTTTCTGGGAACCTTCAGTGCTGTACTAACAGGCCATTGAGATATCTCTGTGGCTATGAATCATTCCCAGTCATACACAACAATCCTTCAACTGCTTTGCTTGTGCCTGAAGTTCAGTTGTAGGAACCATTAACTGTGAGGTTTTTTCCTAATTTGGTGTGTCAAAGCTATGTAATTTGGAATTTCAAATATACTATTATAAATTGTGAATGTGTTTTATTTTTTGTTTCCAATGTTTTAATTGGCAAAAATTCTTCAATATTCATAATACATGTACCTACACCAGGTATTCCTGTCACACAATTAAAATGGGAGTAGATGACAAGATACGTGGAGGAAAAAAAAATCACACCACCTCTCTGTAGTATGGTGGTCTCTCTACCTAGCTCTGTGTAGTTGGTGCACGTTTGGCTAAATCATTGTAAAATTGAACTGTCTATCAAGGCTAAAGAAATAAGTTTACTTTTCTAATATATATAGTATCTGTATTTCAGTTTAGTTACATTTTATCTCTGTTCACATGGAAGTTAGTAACTGCAATCCTTAAATTTATTTTCAATAGCTTCCTTTGAATGTTTTAAATTTGCCTGATTAAATTTAAGATATGGCTCTCGAGAGAAAGATAATAGGAAAAGTATTTTTCGTATCAATTTAAAAATTGCTCTGAAAACTTAAATATAGCTCAGAAGTGATCATTAGTTCATGTTTTGAGCTAATACAGTTTTGTCTCGTAGTCTTACAGTGAAAGTAGCTTACATTGCTAATAAAAACTGTGCTTAATCAACAGGGATGGCAGCAGTTAGTCTAAATTATGAAAATGTTCAGGCACAGTCTGGAATCAAGTGGTGACAAGAGTTGAACTGCTCTCACTGAGAGGGTGAATAATGCTCTTTTTTATTTTTCCCCACCATTCTCTATTTACTGTTATCTCTCTCTGCTCTGAACTTTGTGGTTCATTATAGGGCTTTCTGGAAACACCGCCAGCGAGATGCTCCCAATTGATGGTTCTGAAGCCAGACTTCAGGGGCTCTTACCATGTCTGTCAGCTTTGGTGTTGCTGTCTCCCGGGATTGCTTTCAATTTGTATCATCCTACAGCGGGCTGTAAACCCGTCTGCTTCCTGTTGTCGAGGAGTTTAATGCAGACCTCGGAGCAGCAGCAGATTAGCAGCATGCATAAAGAAAAAGGTACTTGGGGACTGAAAGTCAGCTGCAGACTTCTGTGGGGCTAGGACCTTCAGGTAGTGACTTCAGCACGTCAATCTGGATTAGATGCGGGCTAGAGCTGGTTGCCAAACATAAAATGATTTTGTGGTGGAGAAAAGTGGTTTAGTTGTGTGCCTTTAGGATTTCCCAGCAGGAGGAAAAGGTAAATGGAAAGTTTAGCAATGGAAAATGAAGGCTGTTCTTGTTGACTGCCTGGCAGGTGTAGTACTAATTAGAAATCGTAATGCTCCAAGAATAGATCTTCTGTATTCTTCAGATAGTTTGCTCTGGAAATTATGACCTCTGTTTTGTTATGTGATTTAAAAAATAAAGACTTGAAGAACTAAAATGCAACAGACCTGTTTTTTTTCCTTTTCTTGTAGTTTTAAGATTGTGCACAGTTTGTTAAACTCTTCTGCAAGAAAGTGGTGTGTAAAGTATGATAAACTTGGAAAAGAAATACCACTAAACCTGTAACCCTGTCTCTTCTGTCCAGTTAGCAATTAAAGAACTAACAGCACTAACTGATGAGAGTAAAATATTGATAAAAAGTTGACCTAAATCTCCTGAATGACTAGTGGGCTAATTGGATGTGTGGAGTGGCTATTGAGCAGCAACGTTGTCAGCAGAAGAGGAGTTGAAATTGGGTATGCTTTTATTTCCTCCTGGGAGAAGGGACACGAAGCTTGGCAGAGGTCTGCCGTTGGGGTGAACGGAACGGGTTTTGTCCAGGCGTTTTGTTTTGTGTAAGGCTGCTTGCGTAGCCTCGTGCCACATGTCAGAGGAGGATAAGTGGTCTTTCATTAGAAAAAATTAGAAGATGACAGCTAATTTGTAGTAACTCCTCAGAAGCAACTCACTACTGGCTTCTGGCAGAAGTGGCTAAGTCATTTGCTAACTTCAAATAAGGGTCAAAATTGGATCAGAAATACTAGGATTTCTGTACTAATTAAACTGCCCAGTAAAAACATGAGCAGTGTTATTTACAGAAACTTCCAGGAACCTGAGCTGATACATTCCT